CTATACTGGTCCTGGGTGAGTGTCTTAACATCACATCTCCCAGACTAATCCTAAGATCCTGGCTTCCGCGGATTCTCTGGATTACCGGATGCAACGCTGCCCTCCTAGCAGTATGGCCAAAGCTGAAAAGCAAGCCAGTGTAATAGAACAGGCAGTGAAACGCAAGACGGATCATGAAGATGATCATCTGCTCCCGGTCTGAGCGGTCTCGAGGGTAGCTCCCAGAACCTGCTATAACTGTGGAGGGCGAGGAGGCCAAGCCGAGTGGAAAGGAAAATTTCCGGGGGTTGTCGGTCAGCCGAGGGTGTGGATGGAGACCGTCGAGAGGAGGTGGAGACTGTTACATCTGCGGCGCCTTTGGACATCAGGCTTTCGAGTGTAGACTGCGCTGGGGAATTAGCCCGGAAGGAGTAGCCGCTGGTGTAAAGAAGATGAAGAGGATCAGTCCCCGCCAAAGACCTGACCGGGACCCCGGGGTTAGGCCTCAACAATTGAACAGGGGTCACTACCAAATTACGAACGTCCAGAATGGGAAAAAGACCGGGATTATGATTACCATAGGCCTAGATAAGATAAACTCAACATTGTTGGTTGAGGGGCCGGGGTATCGATCCTTAAACAACCGGTGCCTACCTCAAGAACCACCATGAACACATCCGGAGTCACGGGTGATAGTTTGAGAATCCGTGGAAGCCAGGATATTAGGATTAGTCTGGGAGAGGTGATGTTATGACACTCACCCAGGGCCAGTATAGAGAGTAAAGTCATCCACATTATTTTACTGATTCCACTCTAACCAGACGTCTTGTTTCCAACTCGGTCAATCTCCTACTGAGCTCTATCTCTCTATATCCTGGCCAGACGCCCAGTCATCATTCTTGTATCTCTCTGGCTCGACGTTTCCCTTTTAAATATTCAACTAAACTCTTAACTATATTTAACACTCCGTATTTCACTGCACTACAGTGGTATAATGTAAAAAGATGACATGATATTTTGGTTTAAAAATTTAAATTTTTCAAATTTGAAAATCTGTGGCTGAAAACTCATTTAGAACTCTCTGCATTCTCATTCTACTTTCNGCCCAGCTTAAATTACTGGAAGATTCAGACTTAATCAATTTTATTTAGTAGTCCAGCACATCTGCTGTGAGTGGAATAAAAATAATAATGGGTGAATTATTTAACTTTTGATATTCTTCAACTTGGCTTATGTTTAAAAGATGCAAAATTATTTTTATAAGTGCTCTTCCTAATAAATTTAATGAAACTAGGACACTGAGAAACCTTTATTTTTCTAGAAACCGGAAAAAAATCAACAAACAAGCCATGTCCAGAAGTAACTCAAATTCGGACAGACATAAGGCACTAAGCATGGTGAGGTGGGTTTCGGGAGATGATGTAGCAGGAAATACACCAGTCAAAGAATCCCCTCTCGCCCAAAGCATTGGAACAACAACAATGCACTCCAGAAAATATCCTAAACATAGAGCTGGAAAAATGACTTAAGAAAGTAAAAGACTAAAACTTAAAACTTAAGCATTGTACAAAAGCACTCACAAACACCAAAATTTGTAACCCTTGATGAGATAAGAGAATTTTTTCAGTGGACAAAGTCTTTGAACTTTTCTTTTGAAATAATTCGAAAAATTTGATTTCATGACATTCTAATAACAAATCCTTTATTTAGGCCTATGCTTAATTAATCAGGGTTTGAAATATGGATTTGATTTATTATATATATTCCACGACAGCTAGGCTTTTATTTTCTTGCTGTGTGAACTTTTTTCTTTTTTTTGGAATTTTGTGAAGCTCAGGTGCAATTAGATAGATTAATTGAATGGCGAAGAAACCATTGAAAGATGTTTTGAAATTTTCCATAGCAGGATTACATGAGTAGTAGTATAACTTAAAAATTTCACTATATTTTCTGGTGTGATCAAATGTCCAAACTCTGATAGGAATTAAAAAAAAAAAAAAAAAATTACATGCCCCTTGTATATTTTTGTTATAAATTATCATATAAGATAAAAGATTTTAAGAATTACAGATTTTACTACAAATACCATAATTACCATTCTGGATGTAATTAAAATTGACACACATCTTTCCATCGCAGAAACAAGCCGGTTCGAACACTTACGTAATAACCAGGATCACATCTTCAAAGATAAATTTTCTTTTTTCTTATCTGAAAAGCGAGATATTTGGTCAACCTGATAGTCTAGATGCGATCGCATTTCATTTTTATACAAAAATCACAAAATGTCAAAGGGTGAATATTGCTTTAAATTGTGTTAAAGGAAATTGGGAGCTTCTTGAGAAAAAAAAAGGGCCAGAAGGTATTTTTCTCTGTTGTGCCTTGTGAAATTGTTTAATAAACATAAAAATACTATTACAAAAATAAATAAAGGCGGTTCTATTTCAAAACCTACTTTCTATTTTTGTTTTGATTGAAAATAACACAAAACCTTGCAAATGTCTAATAAATTAAATAGAGAATCTTTGAATTAAATTTTCTAGATCAAGATTAATGATTCTTAAAATAAAACACACTCTTCAATTGTTTTATTTTAATTTTAGGGATGGTTAAATAAATAATATAAGAAATCAAGTGGTAAAACTTAAGAAACTTTTTTCCGTTTCAAAACTAACTTGAAAGGAAAAAGCTTGAAAAGAAGTGGCTTAAATTTTTCTTTAAATTAAGGTTTTATTAAAGTCTACACTTTTTTATTCAAATGCTTAACCAGGTGCTGAATCTTAATACAGTGTACATTTCTTGCTAAGGGAAGTCATGGTGCCTCTACTTTCGTCCTTTTCCTGGGTTTTTTATCATCTACAAAATTTTTATATAAATAATAAAACATAGCTGTACAGGAAAATATTATATGTGAAGTGTAGATTTAGATATACACCCTCAATGACGATTTTTGAAATCCCTCCTGGCACCCTACTTAGCAATTAATATGTCAACTTTTTCCACTTTGTCTGCCAAATTTTGCATGAATCAAGGACTTAATTTCATCTTTTAAAGTTCATCAGAGCCATGCTAACAGTAAAAAATTTGTTCTTGAAATCATGGCTTTGAACATCTTTAAAGAAAATTTGTAACTTCTTGTTTTAAGTATTAGATGTATCAACCAGTTTTTTACTCAAGGATAATCTGGATCATGGTATGAACTTGATAAAAAGCAATTTCGGTTTTACTGCTAGGTTTTCGACCTATTAAAAAAGGTGATCAGCAGGGTTTGCCCCTATTGTTTTGCTCTGATGATGACCTGAAAATAGGCTGAAAACTTATCAACCGTTGAAATTGCTATTTCAAGACTATACCATGATCCAGGTTTGTAACAACAAATATCTAATTAATATATAAAATGTATATTTTCTTGTTGCTCACTGGTGCTGGCCTATGTTGGGCTAGATTGAGGAATGCCTCCTTGAATTGACCAACGAATCTCCAATAAGCTGTGAGGTAGTGTTGATCGTGACTAGACATCGACCCTCTTCGATAAAGCCCTGCGCACAATGTTAAGTTTAAAAGCATCAATATTTTCTTTGGTGATTGATCAGCCTTCTCAGTTTAATTTTTTTTTTTTTTTGAGAAGGTATCCAGTTATCCACACGTGTACCTGTTCATATAGTATAACGATTTTTTTCGAAGTCCTGATGAAGGCGATATATTCTACTGAAAACTCGACAAGAAAATAAATGTTGTTTCTGTTTTCCTGGCCTCATCCCTGATCTGCCTTTCGGAAAGGAAAAAAAAAAATTTAAAAGCATCAGCTGCAAGAGATCTGCGGGGTTCCATTCTTTCCCAGTCTGGGGCTGCCACTTCGGTGTGGTCTGCTGGGCTTTGTTCTGATGGAGATGTACAGATTAAGGCTTTGGCCAAGGTTGAAACGTTCAAAATTTTTTTGTAATGTTCTTAAATATATATGTTGATACCATTTAAGAAAAAGAAAATGAAACATAATAAACAAGGCAAAAAGGAGGGAAAATTTGAAAGGTTGTAGGTTGAGATGGGGAGTTGGTGTCTGAGCGGATCGAACGATAGCTCAAGTGTTAGAGCAGCGGCGTATTGAGCCGAAGGTCGTGGGTTCGAATCCCGCTTGTGGCACTAACTTTTTCATTTAAACAAANCTCTGTCTTAAACCTGGCACTGCCAGGAGCGGCTTCAGATCGTGAACCTTGGTTGGCAAGACCTCAGAGGGTGTCGATCCCAGGTCCTTGCAAGAGATTGTGTATATCACCTCATCCCATGAGCCTTGAATGAAACGGCTGTTTATAAGCTGCAGGTGAGCACTTATACCCCAGGCCTGTAGCTGGCAATTCCTTGGGTTCTGAGCTATGTAGCTCCATAAAAATAATAAAACAGGTAAAACTTGTAGTGTAGTCTTTTTTTAGGTCTGGTAGAAAATTTGAATACACTGATCATTTCTGATCATCACAGTCCAGCTATGATTGTCGTTTTGGTTGTATTCATTCCAGGGGCTAGTCTGAGTATATTCCATAGTTTACCCTTTTTTATCTTATAAAATAGTGATCTGAGAGGGAATTTAGTAGGTTGTTGTTTTATTTTGTCACCTTTGCTGTATGACAAGAATTATTTTATAAACTATCAACTAAGTTGTATTTGATTTGAATTAGAAATTAAATTTTGGAAGACCTATCGGCCATTTTATTTCAGATTATTCTCGTGTTTTATAAGAAAAAATTTGCCTAAAGTATAAAATTAAATAAGGTTAATAAATAGATGAAATATACGAAGTGAAAGAAAAAGTTCACACTTCTCATGTACAACCCGTTGATTAACTTTATTAATTAATAAGATTACTTTATTTGTCTTGTCCAAACTTAATATATCACTAATAATCAGCTTTTCAATGTTTTTACACTGTATCATTTTTGTTTTGGTATGTAAGGATTAGTTTTTAATAATTGTTACATTATTTTTCCCTTATTAGGTATTAAACCTGAGCTTGTTTTGTTTATTTTTAGGGTTCGTGCGAGGGTAAAATAGCAACATGTGAGGGACGAAATCCCCCTAGGCTGGTTTGTGGCTCAAACGGTATAACATACACCACCAGATGCCATCTTCTAAAAGCCATGTGCGCAGGGAAGCCTGGTCTTCGTGTGGCACACAAAGGGCCTTGTACTTGTTAGTCAATTTTTATAATTGAATAGTTTATTGTTTGTTTATTATTGTTGATCAATTTTCAAAATTTAACTGACGATTTTCTAGCTAAACAACCCTGTTGGGCCAATGAAGATACAAGAGCAGACGAAGAAGGGCTGACATTTAGGCCTAAATGTCTTTCGGATGGAAGATACGCTCCTGTCCAATGCCACGAAAGTACTGGCTACTGCTGGTGCGTTACGGAACATGGTAAACCCATAAGCAATACATCCGTCAGAAACACCAAACCCAAATGCAACCGAAGAGGAAAACAGAGAATTGGATCTACAAGAGGTCTTAAACAAAAGAAAGGTGAATTTATCTGTTTAATAATTAAATTTTCTCTTACTTACTTGATTTTATGTTTATAATAATTTATGTCTTTATTCCAGGCTGTGGGCGATTGGAAAGGGCTAATTTTATAACTAACTTAATCAGAATATTTAAAACCGAATATGGAAGAATAAACGAAGAACCAATGAACGGTAATCAGTCATAGTTCATACATTTTAATATGTAGTAATAAGAAGTCTTATTACTTCAATTATACATTTTTTTAACCTTTTTTCTCACAGCTACCCATGATGAAATGGTTCAATTGGCTGTTCGATGGAAATTTGACACTTTGGACGGAGACGAGAACAAGACATTGACCAGAGATGAATACATAGATCTGAAAAAAATTATAAGGAAAGTTGTTAGGCCCAAAAAGTGCGCCCATTCGTTTATTAGATACTGCGATTTGAACAGAGACAGTATCCTTACTTTACAGGAGTGGGAAAATTGCCTGCAAAAACCCACGGGTGAGTCTAGTTATCATCATAAATTAAATTATAAATTTTATAATTAAAATTCTGTTTATAGTTAGGAGGAAAAAAAATAAATTGACGAAAAATAAAGAAAGGGATTTCGGAGGTGAGCGTACACATTTTTTAATATCAAATATCAATTGTTTTAAAAAACAATTTTCACACAACAGTAATAAATAATATTCAATAACAACAGGAACAAATTAATTTTGTTACATTACAAAAATATTTCTGTTTAGTAGTGCAAGACAGCGTATCTTTGCTGAGCGCCAACTTTTCAGGTTTGGGCGTTGAAGAACAGTCGGAAAGAAAAGATGAACCAGAAAGTAAGTATTGAACTTTCCACCTGAAGTTTATGCAGTGACAATTGGTTAAATAATTATTTACGCTTAAACACATAAATATCTCTTTAATGTTTAAATTAGTCAAAAACTAATTAGTGAAATCTGTAAAATTGAAAGAAAGGAAATGAATTGAAGAGATTATTTTTCAAACTCGAATTTATTCATTAATAAGTTTAAATATTTTGGGGCTTAAATGAATGCTTGTAATTCACAGAGTGATAAACTTGTAGTTTGGTCGTTTATGATCGTTTTGGTCTGCTTATTCTCACTGCATGTGTCTGTCAGACATGTAGAAACTTTTTACCATTCAGTAGTGGGTCTGACTATCTGCGCCTTAATGAAAATTAGCTGTCTTTTTTTTTAATTTCTAAATTTTTCATTGTGATTTGCAAGTTGATGATCCTGTTGTTTGGTTGTCATCTTCAGGATTGGGTCTGATGTTTGTGGTGGTTTGTTAAATATTTACAATGATAATTAGCTATTGTTTTAACTATTTTTCACTTCAAATTTCTTGGTAAAATTTGTGCTTTTTGTGCTTTTCCCTTGTAGTTTGCTGGACGATGAACTTGTATTTGGGTCTCTTGTGTTCATTCTGGCTTACTTATTCTCATGGCATGTCAGATATGGCTTTTTGCCATCTTCAGAAGTAGGCCTGACACCATGCCTGATCTAGATATTTATAATGATAAATAGCCATTATTATAATTATTTTTACACATGTACACTTCATAACATCCGTAAACTATTTTAGATTGAACCATCTGAAAATAAGTCTAAGTCTATCCTCATTTCACAATTCTAAAGTCACCATTTTAAAGGTCCTTCAATATTTCAGTCAACGATTGTTGGAGTGATCGAAATTCAGTCTTAGAAGAGCAACAAGGCGGATTAGCCAAACTATACATTCCGGAATGCACTAATGACGGACGATACAAAAAAATCCAGTGCTACACGTCAACAGGTAATTGTTTTAAAATATCTATGCTTAATTTCAGTTTTGTGTTTTAAAATAATTGAATAATGGAAATTTTGATTAAATTTAGGGTACTGTTGGTGCGTTCATGAAGATACGGGTAAACCTATACCCGGTACTTCGACGAGGGAGCCGTACCCAAAATGTGATGCAGTCCAACCTCCACCTCGTCCAATGAAGGGTACGCTACAACAATAAATTTTTTAAAAACAAATACTAAGCTTTTTTAAAACTTTCCCCCCGCATTATTGCTTGTAAAAACCTTGCATATTATTAAGAAATTATTATTTATTATTAACGAAATGTATGACATTTAGGTTGTTCGGAAAATACAAAACGAGTCTTTTTGAATGACCTCCTTGCATTTTTCAAGCACATGAAAGTAATACAGGGTACGACAAGGTAAGTAAAAACAAATAATTAAATTTCATTTTCTATAATATACTCCACTAACTTCCATTGCCAGCCAATAATATGAATTTTAATTTTTCTTAATTCTAGTTGTAACAATTAATTTTCAATTAAACACTAAAATTTGTGATTAATTTTCTGACTGGTAATTCTGTTTCCAAATCACATCAGGATGTCCAGAGAGGCGATAAGTAAAAATGATTCTAACAAAATTTGAACTACTTACAGACCAATGAACCACACAAAATTTATTTCCTTTATCTTAGGAATCTCTTATAGCTTAAATAAAAGTTGAGTAATTCTGTCATACAAAAAACTTTTATGTATAATTAAATTTAAAGTGGTAGAGCAGCGGCGTATCTAGCCGAAGATCGTGGGTTCGAATCCTGCTCATGCCATTGACTTTTTTATCTCAACTAAAAACCTTAATTAATTGTATAATTAAAGTTGGTGGGGGTTTGGAGTACCAGAAGGGATGAATTTATGTGTTGATGAACACGCATCAATGAATTTTGATTATTTTGGTCGGCTTATCCTTTTAGTTACGGCTTACCATTTCGGCCTATCAGATGCATTTTGACTAATTGTCATATTTAGTACTGGATCTTAAGATGAGATGCTGAAATGCTGGTGTTAGGCGGGCAGAAATGACTAGAAGAGACCAACCTACAGTGTCATCACTGTGCAGACTCCAAGAGGAAATCTCAGGGATAATTTTACCTGGTCCATGACCTAGTAAAGTAATCAATGTCAATCAGTTCAGCATAAACTACTTGTATTGTGTTGCACTTATTTGCCTGATAGTAGTTTCAAAGATAATTCCATGAACAATATCGCAAATCAATAAAAACGTCATCAAAAATATTTTAAAACCCTACAAATTGATAAAAGGTTCGACATCTAAGAAACTTTAATAAAACAAAGCCGTAGAGCAATTCTTGTCCTACTCGACCTAATCAGGGATGACAGGCATTATGTCCTACCTGGACAAAGGGTCCGAGAGTATGAGAATCATATATCATAACAATCATGGCTTCTGTGGATTGATTTAAACAATAAAATAATAATAATTTAAAATATGCTTGTATTTTACTTAGAATTGAATTATTGTATTAATATTTTTTGCAGTGCTGACAAAACAGCCATTTTGAAAGAGGATCAATCCACTGCAGAGAAGGAGTCAATCGCTCAGTGGTATTTTTACCAATTGGACATAAATAAAAACAAAGTAAGGGTCAAATTTGGCTTTTTATTTATTTATTTTATTTTATTTTATTTTTTTAGTTAACATTGTGATATTTATTCAGAAATCATCAGATGCGGTCTGGTGTGATGTAGGTTTCAGAAAAACATTTTCTAATAATTATCGATTAACGGTCACTAATCACCACACATTGTGATATTTTATGCATTTTCTAATTTTTAATTATGGTACTACATAGTTATTTTTTAATTTACATTTGATACAATATTATGAATCAAATTATGAGGGCAAATCTGACAAACCGTCCTGAACCCTTTTACGACATACCACATTACCAAAAATTTACATAAGAAAAGTTGATTAAAGGACCATCTCAGAAACTAAAAGCCTACCGAATTACCAAAAATGTAGATCCATCGGACAATGGGTTAAAAAAAAGTCCTTGGTTTAACAGAATCTTCAGGACAGAAGCAAGCAAAAAAGTTTATTAAAGGACGATCACAGGAACTAATAGCATACCGAATTACCAAAAATGTAGATCCATCAGACAGTCGGTTAAAAATAAGTCCTTGGTTCAACAGGACCTTCAAGACAGAGGCATGCAAAAAATTTTAGCATAAGGTCGTAAAGATACCATCTTTTAGCTTTAAAATTAACCTTTTTTACATACTAATTCTTTACTAGGTTTTCTCTTAAATATTTACAATCCAAAGATTCACTATATCTATAAAAAATTCTCCTTTATGATTGTTGTTTCCATTTTAGGTGCTTGACAGGAAGGAATGGAAAACATTTAGGTCGACAATCGCACAGCACAATCGACTAAGACATTGTGGGAAAAAATTACCGAGATATTGCGATGTCAATCATGACAGGAAGATAAGCATTACCGAATGGTTCAACTGTTTAAGTATTCACGAAGAAACTTCAAGTATGAATTTACTATCAAAATTTATTAATTTCAGCTTAATTAAAAATCCTTTTACCCTTATTTTTTTTAAATTGTGCCTGTTTTTTCAGAAACGGTGGTTTCTACAACAAGCCAGAAAAGAAGAGGACCGAATCCCTTGGAGTCGCTACTGCACGATGATTAACCGTTAACTCAAATTGTGATTTCTGCTTGTCAGTTGATATTGAAACATATTTTGATTCATTACTTAGTTTTTATTATTAACTATTTGCTTTAAAAATAAATTAATTACACTTTTTTTAAAAGAAAAAAAATGAAATGAAGTCAACATACAATTTTTTGTTTTGTTTTAAACAAGAAATATTATTTATTGAATTGAAAACAATATAAAAGCAACTAGCGAAAAAACGAATTTGCTGTACATAAATACAAATGAAACTCAATCAATTTTAATTTGTACACTATTGTGATATAGAAATTATATTATTTTATATAAAATAAGTTTAGTGTTGTAAAGCATGGTACATTTTTTTGTATATGTTGATCTTATAATTTATTAAAAAAAAAAAAAATGCGTTTTTGCATGGATTTAATTATTATTCCTGTCACACACTACAACTTTAAAATTTCAATCAACATTAATTTTTTTTATCACCCAGTTTTTCTTTACTGAAAGCTTAACATCAGTATATTTCTTCTTTCCATAGGCACCGTAAAAAAATTAAAAGTTAAGCTGCCATCTTTGAAAGTAAAATTAATGTTTTTCTAATTTATAAAGAACTGTCCAACTACTATCTAGTAACATTTCTGTTAATTCTCCTACTGTACGAATAATTAATTAAATAAAATGTAAGTTCTTAAAAGTATTTGTGACAAAAAACATTCTTTATTTGACTCTAACTAAGGTTATGTTGGTGGCTGCAGTGGTGTTGACACGGTGCTCATCACTGTAAGATAAAGGTACAAGGTTCAAACCCAACATGCTTAGAAATGGGCTTTTTCAAACAACATTGGCAAATCAGGTTGATATGACCTCTGCTGTTGTGAACCTCCGTAAAAATGAAAACTAGAATACTATTTCATTATTTAACTACACTTTTTTGCATTTTTCTTTTGCAAATTGTAATGAGACTGTTGCAAAAATCATGAATCGAGGTTTTTAGGATTTTGGTCTGATGTTGCTTACTAATTAGACTGTGCATAATCTTTCCAAATAATATATTTTTTTGTAACATTGGTTTCAAGATTAAAATCCAAGCTGTTCGTTCGATTATTAGCTAAACAAAGTTTGTTACATCCATTATATTTAGTGGTCTGATTGATTAAATTATTTATTTCAATTAATTAATTTTTTATGTAAAGTTTTGGTTGAAATAAAAAAGTGTCACGAGCGAGATTCGAACCCATGACCTTCGGCTCAATATGCTGCTGTTGTCATGATACCTCAAATATTAGAGCAGCAGTGTATTGAGCCAGAGGTCGTGGGTTCGAAACCCACTCATGGCATTAACTTTTTCATTTCAACCAAAATCTTACATAAAAAGTTAATTAATTGAAACTGTTTGTTATGTTGGGACATGGCGGGACTAGGCGCTGTGGGGTTAGGGAAGGGAGTCTTCAGCTTCCTGGGCAATTTTTAACCTCAAGCACTATGAGATTTGGACTTTTTTAGGTTTTTTGTAAATACGCATCCTGCTATGCAATCGCTGTCCTCGGTGTGATGGCTGTTTCTCGATGGGTCTATGTGCAACTTTGCATCCCTTTCTGACTTATGTGCATCCACAAGAAGGCAAAAGAAAAAAAAATGTCCCTTTTAGTAGAAGGGTTTCATGCTTTGGCTCCTTATAGAGAGAAAGTATATATGACACGCAACATGACAGTTCCTGACTTTTCCATAGTCACATGTTTTTCCTTGTTTATGTGAATGTCTTTATTAGCATGAATGTAAATGGTTAGGAATGATGGCTGTTTTTGAAACACCATAAGATGATCAGTATTGATAACTTTCAATCTGACAGAGGTAAGCAGGGTTAAGGAAACACATAAGCAACTGATGCATGAAGAAAACGAGACCTAGCGTTTTATTATTTGATTTCTAAACAAGAAGAAAAATAAATTTATTCTGGGACTGGTGTCATAATGTGACCCAAATCATTTACATGAAATAAACAATGGAAGTTCCTTTTATGAATTTAAAAGTAAAAAAAGATATAAATCTTGGCACAATGTATACCAGTAAGGCAGGCCAGAAGGGAAAATTAGGAGAATATTAAACAAAAATAACAAATGTTAATGTGAGGTCTCTGCTTGGAGGGAGAGGAGGTGATTATATGGTGGGATTTAAAGGAGGAAAAGGAGGCAACGTGATGAATAGAAAGGGGAAGGGGGTTACATAGTTTATGGGCTCGGATTGGAAAGGATCTTTCAAAGGTATGGGTTGTATGTTGCGGAAGGATAAGATCAATTGGGTATGAACGGGTCTTACGAGTGAGATGTGAGGAGTTGAATTGGAGGGATTGGATGATGTAAGGAGGACGACGAGTGTGGATGTACTGGAGAAGAAAGCAACCAAGGAAATACTGTGCACGGAAGGAGGGGAATACAACCCCGACACCCGGGATCCCTGTGGGGTGTCGTACACAAATCTTATGCAACAATTCATAATATGCTTCAATTATGCGTTCTCCTCCTCCAAGAGACCACTGTGTGCCACACAGCTATAATCGAAGAAGGGAAGTATAAGGGAAGATACAAGGAGTTTGCGGGTGGAGAAAGGTAAGAGAAGCCAGGACTGATGAAACGCTGAGGGAGGCAATGGAATGACGGGAAATGTGAGAATGTCAGGAAAGGTTTTGGTCAAAGACTACTCCTAGGTTTTTAACTGAAGAGCAGAAGGGCATGGGATGGTTATTTAGCATGAGAGGTGGGATGCTGGGGAGGGAATTGAGGAGTTGCCTGGACCCGATAATTATGGCGGTGGATTTGGACGGATTGAGGACTAGGGAGCTAGCAGGGTTAAGGAAAAAAAGGGACTAGTGCATGAAGAAAACGAGACAGCCTTTTATTGCGATTTCTACTTAAGGTCTGCATGATGAACCTGCTTTTTTCGTTTCCTGGGGATCACTGATGACTTCCACTGACGGTATAGTTCAAACCAATAGGAGAAAAAAGGTCCCCCTTAAAAGAAAGGTTTCATGCTTTGGCTCCTTATAGAGAGCAAGCAAGTATATCACATGCACGGCTATTCCTAACTTTTCTATTTTTGTGTGGGAAATATATGCTTTTTGTGTATAGCACCGATTTTTTCATTGTTTATGTGAGAGAAGGTATTTATTAGCATACATGTACAGTGTGAAGAATGATAGCTGTTTTTGAAACACCATACGATGATGAGTATTGAGAACTTTCAATCTGATAGAGCTAAGCTGGGTTAAGGAAAAAATAAGGGACTAGTGCATGAAGAAAACGAGACCTAGCCTTTTATTGCGATTTATTACTTAAGGTCTGCATGATGAACCTGCTTTTTGCGTTTCATGTGAATCGCTGATGACAACTGAGTCTCTCTTTCTTCCACTGCAACCAAAAAGTGTTAATGACACTCTTCCTCTGCCTTCCTACTCCATGGTTGCTGTGTATCAATTCCCCTGCACTGCTTCTACACTACCCTTAAAGCATAGAGCACATTCTGAGGTTCCTTTTCACGTATTTAATTTTCTCTGGAAAATGTTAGTTTTTTTGGTGTACAGAATTCTTTTTCTTGCTCTGACTCTGTCTCTTTTAGCCATAATCAACAATGGTCGCCTGTTAATAGTCCCATTTTTATGACAGGATTTACTTTACTTTTCATTGATGTGATTTCAATGATAGCATTTTGTATGGTGCAAGTTGTTTAATTTTGTGATACATAATTTAAGTGATTAAAACTATGCCAATATCAAAAATATTTATTAACAGTAAAAATATTTTAACTAAGAAATAAATAATAACAAAAATGTATACACAATAACCACAATTTCGGTAATGAATTTTGGTTCTTCAGACCAAAATTGTTTCCACAGTTTTATAAAACATTTTGTGATGTAGATATAGAATAATTTACTCTTCTACAGTTAGTAGGTAAAAATGCAAGTTGAAATTATCACAGTTCAGGTCAAAATGAATCATTTTATTTTCGAAAAAGTGTAATGTAGTTTGCCTCGGCATAAGTTGTTCACAGGAGAGCAACTGGCACAGCCTTTTAACATCCACTCTTACTTTCTGTTCCCCTTCGTTTTCTAAAAAAAGATTTAAAAAAAAAAAAATAAAATAAATCAAAACAGTTAAGATTTGTTACCTTTTTTATAGCAAACTCTTGAGTTTTGAAAAATTGTCGTGACAGTCACAGTGCTTGCTGAAATCGTTGTGCAGAGCAGGTCATCAGGAGTTATAGATATACTGACATACGGCCCGAGCTTCTTGAACCTCTCAAGTACCATTTTGATTTTTTTAAATTGACAAAGCTCAACACTAACCTAGATGTGATTTACACATAAATATTACCCAGTTGCAAATTAATTTATACATACAACACTTACACTGTAATCTTTAACAGGGGGATCTGAATAATCAGACCAAGATGTAACAGGGATCAAATTGACAGGAATGTCATGCACGTAGCTTCTTTTCATTCCGTACTCTGTCGTCTGTAAATTTTTTGATATTTTTAGTTTGTTAAAAGTGTAATTCATATAATGGATACTTACTAATTCAATCTCTATCGTCATACAAGGCGTTGTTTTGTCTGTCAGTCTTATTTTAACACATCTGACGTTGCTGTTAGTGCTCTTCAGTGCACTCAACGAAGTGGCAAGCATATCTTCAAAATTGGAAAATAAATGTATAACATAAATAAGATTGATCGAAATTGTTGCGATTTTTCCATGCATTATGTGAGGTGATGAAATTATAATTTGGTCATTTCAGATCATTTAGGCCTGCCTATACTCGCTGTTTTGGCCTCTGACTACATTGGTAGGTACGACGGACCAAAACGATCAAACTACAGGTTCATCACCCCACCCTGCAGACCTGAGATAATCTCACAATTCAATGATTATTTAACAATAAAACATTTTTCACAGCTTGTTGGATTCGTGAGTAGCAGTCAAGAATGAGGTAGTTTAGAAAAACATCTTTTTCATTTTTGGCTTACTTTTCAACCNCATGAATAAGAACAAATCTAGCATCTAGTGTTAACTTTAAAAAAATATAGTTTAATCCTTCCAGTTGATTTTTTGTTAGTAAATTTTGTTATCCTGGTGAAAGAAAACAATATTAGGCAACTCTGGGAGAACTTGGACATGATGGGATTGAAGACAATGGACAGACTAGGGAAAAAAAACCCACAAGCAGCACTCACACCATTTGGACTAGAACCGCAAATCAAGCTGTCCAAAGTGTACTTAAGGCGGAACTGAACAAATAGAGAAAGAATTGACTATACTGGATGAATTTATCAGATGCAAAACTAGATGAAGTTTCACAACACCTCAACCAGGAAAATTCTACCTCTCTCCCTGCAGGCAGCAATTTTCTTCATTCTTCTATTCTGGCCATTGACAATTTAATAACTGCTTTTAAAAAATGGGAAATGCTGAGGCAGAAATTGGCCAAATCCTTTGTGACTCCAAAACATTAGCCTCGAAATGGCCCTTTTGAAAAGGCGATACTTATGGGGAATTTAGTAAAGAAGAACTGGAAGTATAAAAGAAAATTATACGATGGAATTCATTGAAAATTTGCCATCTCTGATCATTGTTAGTTTCAAATTAAAAAAAAACTGCTTGACAAATTAGCTAAACATGAGTACACCCTCGAAAGAAACAGTAGAATGTTTTTCTACATTGATCCAATACATAAAAACATATAGAATACTATTAAGATATAAATAAATTATGCACCATGAAAAAGGCAGCGGGATGAAACAAAACATTAAAGTTTGTGAACAAGGGACAGAATAATTCTGCTCACAATCATAATAATCATAATGCCTTAAGATAGGACAGATTGATAGTATGGATCACCAAGGCCCTGGTTATTTTATCAATTCTGTCCTTATACAGGAAAATCGTGATGAAAACAAAACAACAAAAAGTGTCAAACAGACAAAAACCAATCAGACAGATGAATATGATTGAGATTATCGTGCTACATTATAAAATGCTTGATAAATTTCCCAGATTTAGCCATTTATAGGCTATTGAAAAATTGTATGTGATAGAATTAGCATGATTAGGACTGATGGCTAGAGTGAAACATCACAACATATGTATTGCAGGACTAGCGTTGGATAAAAACTGGAATGAAATTTGATGAGAATTTGTCACCTTGGTCACAATAACATATAATTTGTTGACTGGTTAAAATTTTACAATATAAAGAAAAGAATTTGTTTTGAGGTGAAACAGCTCGCAGGATTGTAGTTGTCCCAGGCTAATGCGTTGGGATCTCCAGTTCTCTTTTATCAATCCTACCATCCAAGGCTATCATCGATATTGAAAGAATAATACTTGTATACTAGTAGAAGATAAGCTTAAGAGACATCCTATTTTCTTAAGTCCACTGTCAAGAGCCTTGGAATTGAGACCTTGACCTGGAAGCCCCATATCTCCCAGCAGCTTTTCCATGCTCAATCAGTTCCATTATGCCAACCGATTCCTGCTTAGTATGAGTGAACACCTAGTTTCCTCCCTTATTTTCCCCCACTTTGATTATGGATGTTGGGTATGGGGGATCCATTGGGGAGTTTGAAGATAAGCTTAAGAGTCACCCTATTTCCTACTGTCCCACCATCAAGAGCCTTGGGATTGTCCTTCATCAGACCTTGACTTGGAAGCACCATTTCTCCCAGCAGCTTTTCCATGCTCAATCAGTTCCATCATGTGCTGGAATGTGATGACCTTCCATTTTGAGGTCATGACCTTCCAATAAGGTCACCCTATTTCCTTCTGTCCACCATCAAGAGCCTTGGGATTGTCCTACATCAGACCTTGACCTGGAAGCATCATATCTCCCAGCAGCTTTTCCAAGCTCAATAGTGCTTGCGAAGCCAACCACTTCCTGCTTAGTATGAGTGTATGTGTTGGGTACAGGGGATTCACTGTGGAATTTGAAGATAAGCTTAAGACCCTATTTCCTTCTGTCCGACCATCATGAGCCTTGGGATTGTCCTACATCAGACCATGACTTGGAAGCACCATTTCTCCCAGCAGCTTTTCCATGCTCAATCAGTTCCATCATGCACTGGCATGTGATAACCTTCCATTTTGTGCGTGCAAACTCCTAGTTTCCTCTCTTATTCTCCCACACTTTGATTATGGATGTGTTGGGTACGAGGGATTCACTGGGATCTCGAAGATAAGTTTAAGCATCTAATGAATTGCTCTGCACATTTTATCTTTGGCTTCCCGAGCAGGTCCCACATGACTGATCTGTACATCAAGTGGTTATACCCTTCCTACTGAAAGAAATACTTCCATGGCTTCTTCCTCTATCAGATATTTTTATTTTCCTGACTTATATGATCTCTTTACCTTGAGATCCTCAGTACATTCCCATCAAACTCACTCCCACACTTCTGACCTCTATTCTCATAAACGTAAAACTATTGCATTCCGTCGTTCCTACCTCATCTGTGCCTCCAACCTATGGAATTATCCCCCCACTATCCACCGAGCCCCATTTCTTTGATTATTTCTCGCACTAATTTAATTTCCATAGAACATTGTTACATTATATGTACATACTTTTGTAAATATATATTTTAATTACCAGGAGGAAGCTCCAAGAATATTTCATTTTCATCCGATATCCCTTTGATGATGAAGTCGCTGAAAAACTGAGCCGTTTTCAAAATGCACCAGAATAGGATCTGCTTCGGAGACGAGTTCTCATCGCAGACCATCAGGCTGAAGTGCACCGTGTTCATCCTGAGGACGCATCTTTTCGCCAGTTTCGATATTGTCGAGGCTATAACTAAACTGCAAATATTTTAAATTGAAAAATTAAACGAAGGTGGACGATTCTCACCAGCTAGATTTTTCATGCTCAGAGCTTCGATCATCCTTGCCCTGAACTTCATGGTTCATATACACCAACCCTACTCTTTGAAGTTAAATTAATTTAATATTAATATTTAAATAAATACGAGTAAAATGTGATGTTTGCCGGCTTCTTTTTCTTATTTGTTTACATTCTAATCAACAGTTGAGAAGGTGATGAACTTGTTTACAACCCACTTTTGGCTCTTATCTAACCACGTGGGCTTGGTCAACTGTCAAAACGTACAATAAAAAGATAAATCAAGACAAAATGGATATATTCAATCCTTCTCAAATACAAATACATAAAAATACCATTTCTCATTAATACATGCAAAGTTTTTGTTCTGGCATTCATTTCCTTAGGCACAAGTTGGCTGCAGAATAGAGAAAATTCATATAGCATAAAGACTGAAAAAAATACATGAACAATTTGAATTTGCATGAAATTTTTCATGTAAAACCATGAAATTTAAATTCATATTATTTAATAGGAAATTCACAATTTATTAACTTTAGAATAGAAGATTTGCCAAATAAGACTAGTTCTAAGTCCTCTACTTTTCAAAATATTGATTTTATTCTTTATTTTAAAGGTACAAATAGGAATTTAAGACCCCTTCCACGAACATAAATTAGAAATAAATTTACTTTTATAAATATAGTAAAATAATAATAAAACAATCAAATATTAAAAACAATAATATTGGCGTAAAGTAATCAGGGATGAAGCCATGCAGGTGAAAAAAACCAACTTGTTTTTCTGCTGTCGAGCTTTTGGCTGTATTTGACGCATTCCTCAGGACTTTGAAAAACTATTAAAAAAAACAAAAAACTTTACAATCAGTTCGGAAATGTGGTAAAAAAAAATCTTCAGCTGCATATCTGATCCCTTTACTTCAGTATTTATCATGAAGGCTGATACTATACTCAACGATAAAAACAATAATGATAATAATATATCCTTTAAAATATTAATTATTTATATTTGAATGATGAAACTACATGACTAAAGAAAAGCAGAAAGAGAAAAAAGGAAAAGAAAAAAGAAAAGGAAGAGAGAAGAAGAAAAGATGAATCATGTCGTTGAAAAACTCAGATGACATGGACCTGAATCAAACCAATGAGGGTGCAAAACTTAAAACTTATGACAAACTAAACTTATTACTTAAAACTTGTGCCATTTGCAAAGAAAAAAAGGCTAGGAATATGCAGATCGTTTTTTTTCTTTTTTAATTCATTCTTCACAATATTATTTACAACATGGCTCCCAACGTTATGTTGTCCTCAACAGATACTTGTTGATGCCATCACCGCTATATTCAGATTTGACAAAAAAATTCAAATTAAAATAACTGGTAGAGCAGACTGAGATAAAAATATCCCAGTTAATGCTTACCTTGGCTTCAAATGGTGGCTCGAGCTGGTATTTACGGAAAGAAACCAAGGATTAGAATTTAAACGTTTTGGGCAATATGCCACTGTCTTTCAAGTGTTGACAATGACTATTGTACACTGCACCAAGGGGATTAAAAGTAGTATCATTAACAAAATAGCCGTTCAGACATCCAGCACTGAGGGCAGTGACCGCATCGGTAGTTAATTCCAGTCATTTGGGCCCTGTCAGACATTGAGGAAAACAATAAAGTTACCCTAACAGCAATGATTTGAGGTTGGGTGAGTATGGCAATTCACTTTTTGTAAAAAGAGTTCTCACAGAAGCCACCTACAAAACAAAATTAATCTTGTCTGGGTACCAAGGCACATAAAGAGACCAATACATTTATCAAGGAAAGTTCGATAAGGACACCTCTATTAGCCCTAAACCCTTTTATGGCATACCAAATTGGATTGTAATTTTTTTTTTTTGTCTAAAGGGGAGGGCTGCTCTTTCTTTTTTTTTTCTAGCTTAGCCTGTTCGTTGCTTTCAATCCATTTATATCCTGGCATCTGCATCCGTGTCACCTGATTACGCTTACCTGAGAAGTTCGATGTTACGCATTCCCAGACCAATTTTTAGTTGAAGGTGGCCTAAAGCCTTCAATGCTATTTAGCTGTCTGAGAATATATAAACCTGTGCAATTTTTAATTTTTTTTTTTTTTTGAGATTTCTTGTACACCGAGTTTTCATGGATTTCATGGAAAGTTGATGGTGTGTTAACTAGAGGTTTTGCTAAGTGATATGGAGATTCTTTAACCCCAAACTGTAAACATTAATATTACAACTTAGTAGTTCTTTATTTGAATGAATTACAATACAAAATAATAAACATAAAGATACAAGTTTATTGGTATAATACATTTTATATTATAATTAAGGTTTTAAAAGATTGGCTGCTTTATTTTACTTAGGAACGAATTCTAATCTCAATAATTGCCAAAATGTCTCAACCTGAAACATCAACAGATATAAATTAATAATAATAAACTAAAACTGATTTGAACAACTGATTACCTGAATAGGAAAGCAGTGCTGTTATTATTTGCACATGAAAGGTAACCACTAGAAGGTGAGAAAGCAAAGGCTTGGATTTTCCCAAGTTGGGCATTGAGGGAAGGAAAATTGTTAAATGCTGTCGCAGATGGTAAATGGATCTATAAAATAAATTTTTTTATTATGTACATCATATATTTTTTAAACAGTTCGACCAACCATTTTGATCGCATTTCCTTTTTTGTCAGATGCAATCCCGAGAATCTGAGAAGTTGGATTGAAACGAACAGTCGATACAGGAGTCACTAAATTTTCAACCACTTTGATCGCTTTAGGACTCTCATTTTGACCGATTGAATTGGTTTCATAAAGATTGACTATACCGGACGAAGATCCAGTCGCTAAGTATTTTCCACAAGGGGACAGCGCAATAGCTGTACCATTGAGGCAGCCTTCATCAAAAAATTTCCCATGGAATGATCTACGTGCCATATCCCAGATGTATATTTCACCGAGCTCTAAAAAAAACCCCAAGATATATTATAGTGAGTGAGTGCGACATAAAACAACCAGAACTAACCTCCATGTGAATAAAGTTTAGAACCGTCAGAATTGAAAGTGATAGCTTCGACATTTCCGTTCATTGAAAGCGTACTGATCCATTCTTTGGAGTCCGCTGTAAGCAGGTGTATTTGTCCAAACCTCCCGGCTACTGCGATCAATCGTCCATCTGGAGATACCTCAAATATCTAAGACATGGAAAACATTTTCAACACAGTTTTAACAAAGGTATTTTTTATTTTTTTTTTATTTTACGAACCTTCATATTTGACATGCCCATGTTATGATGTGTTGGAATTTTTATGCTTGTGCCTTGTAACATATCGTAACAGTAAAAATGGGAATGGTGCTGAGAGCCGACAATGAATTGATTGCCATCTGTTGAAAACCGTGCGCATCGCACTGGAAACTTGTCGAATTGCACAGAAGCCAGTTTACTGTTGCCTCGTCCATCGACCTTCAATTTTATAGTTTTATTTTACCAGTTTAGTATAAAATTCATTATCTGACTTACTTGAAATATGGAAGCAACTCCTGAAAGCCCGGCAACGAGGGCGACATTCGAAGTTGGATGGAACTCCACAGCCTTGATTATTGGCCCTTCATTCCTCGTTTCAGAGTTTAAACTAGCCAACCGCTTCGCTTCTAAGATACCTTTCATCAGGTAAGTCGGTTTTTCCAGCATATTACCACAAGTCTAAAAATGATTGTTTGTTAAATTAAAAAAAAAAAAAAAAAAAAAAAAAAATTCATTAACAACTCACTCTGAGAATCGCCAGGTCTTCATCTTGATCCTGTGGTGTCTTGTGGTCTAATTTTGCCCAAGAAGGCTCTCCAAACACAGCCTGAAACTTTCTACGGAGTACCTTATGATAATCATCGCTTGGTTTGTAACCAAGTAGGGTGTCATTTGTTCCTTGAGTACGCAGAACATCTTCTACACTAAAGAAAACATTGAAATAACAACTTGATATCAATAGAAATAAAATAAGGTTTATTGTATCCAGTCATAAAATAGGTCTGTGATGTTTTTTAATGGCCAAATTGATGAACCTTTCAGGTATTTGTAATACAAATTTAATCAACAATATAAACCATTTTGTTCTACTACCTGTCGCCCCCACCAATGTAATTTCATCCTCCCAGAACATTTTGATGTTTTTTCTTAAGCCCTCAAGTTCATAGAGATTTGAAGAGCCTGGTGGAAATCTAAGGAATGTCAGGTGAAAACAGTGGGTGGGGTAGCGTATCCAACCAAGCTTTAAAAGTGTTTCTGGGAGTGTTATCCTGGTGGAAAACAACTCCCTTGTGAGTTTAATCAAGCTGAATTTATGCAGTATAGAGACCAAATTCTTTGGATGTATTCCAGAGTTTTTAGTTGTTAACGGTGGGTCACTGAAATTTACTCATAATTTTCCTATATGAACATTGTAAAGGATTCACTTTTCATCCAGTTAACAGTATTTTTCACATGGGTCATTTACGTTGTTTTAGGAGGGAATTGTAGATATGCGGGTCAATAAATTCTGAAATGACAAATATTTCCAGTGAATCTTACATGCTTTGAAACGATCATATGTGATAGGTTAAGTCTCAGCGACGTCTTATGTCGTTGAGTGTGGATTATTTTTGACAAACAATGGACAGTTGTCAAGGAGTGTAGCCCAAGTAGCAAATGATGGAACCACCCCAACCCCTTCAGTCAACTCGTCTGCCCAGGCGGGTGGCCAGCAGACACAAGTGCCGCTCATGTTCTCGTCACCACTGGTTGACTCAACATAAAAGACACTGCTCGCATTTCTCCTTCACACCAGTCGCCTAGTTGAGTCAAGCGTTGCAATGGCAAGTTTCAATGTGGAGCAATTCATTGAAGAATTCTTATGCATATGGAACATGAGGTGTGAAGAGTATAGTGACAAAATTAAAAGAAGTGAAGCTTGGAGGGAAGTAGCACAACAGTATTTGTGAGAAAGCGCCCATTTCCTAATTTGATAACAACGGGTAAACCCACACTTTTCTTTACTGGGTTTCTTCCTTTTTTGCTTCTCTTTTTTCAGAAGAGCAAGCATGAGAAGTGCTCCTGCTTCCTCGGGTTCTAACATCTTACTGACCTCCCGCTGGGAAGAGAGGTTGATTCCAGAAGTTGTCTGGTGGGAAACTATTAAAGAAAGAATATTTATACGACAGTTAACTAGTTGCGAGTCCGGGCAAGTTAGGCTATGGTTGTTTTGGAATATTTGTTTTCCAATGAGAGTGTTTATGTTGTCGGAACCATTCGAGCGTTCAAACCAGTTTGATTTTTTTGGGCGTTCTGATGTTCAATTTAGACAGTTTTGGTCACCATGTATATAGATAAACTGATTAGTCTTGTTTTTGAGAATCGGTGTCTGTGGAACATGAATGACAAAAAATATCACAACAGAGATATTTCTCAGCCAAAGTGAGAGAAAGTCTCTCAAGAAATCAACACTAGCAATAAGTCATATTTGGTTAGTGGTCATAATTAACCATATTAATTATTGTAATGAATAATTTTTTTTGTCTAAGTTTTTTGGTTGAGACAAAAAGTTAGTGTCACGAACGAGATTTAAACCCACGACCCTTGACTCATCTCAACCTACAACCATTCGAATTTTCCCTCTTTTTGCCATTTTTCAAATTTCATTTTAATTAATACGGTCAATTATGACAGCTATTCATGGATTAATATGCATTTTTTTAAGGGACTTGCAATAAGTTTGAAACTCTCCCTTCTTGTCTCTTGTGGAAGAGATTAACATGCTCTGTTTTCCCACCACCTATCAACAATAGTTTAATCAACAGACTTTCAAGAAAATAAAACTCATTAAGTTCATCCATTTTGCTGGGAGGCAGAAACGTACTATCAGAGAATGCGCTCAATGTAATCACCTTGTTGAAGATTTCGGATTTACTCATCAGAATTCACATCCATATGAACTGTAGCCTTAATAGCAAGAAATAACAAAGCATCATTAATCAACAAAGAAGGAAAAAAAGCCGAAACGTAAACCTTGTCTACTGCCCAGTATGTCAGTTCAAGTATGAGACCAGCCTGACAAGAGCTAACTCCAAGAAAAAACTCCCGATAGATACTTTTCTCGCAAAAGACTAACCGAAATGCAATTAGAATTTATCTGGTGAAATACCCATACGAAAGGTTTATTTGGTTTCATCCTGCATAATTTCAATAGCCAAATAAACGGACCAAACAGTGACAAATTTTGGCTGATAGCGTGATCAGGCATCGATATTGAAGAAATTACAGGTTCATCACTGCAGATCTCACAGAGAAATTTTACAATATTGTTTTTGCTTGCATGTTATATTACAAAAAAAAAAAAAAAAAAATCAGCCTTACGTGAGAGGCAGCAAATCATCCTCGTCTTGCCATGCAGGAGGTCTAGGTGAGGCGAGAGTATCCGAGAAGTCAGAATCAGCTGTGCCGTCATCTTCCACACCGGAGTCGCAGTCAGTCCGACCCAGGTTACGCAGCATGAAAGATGCATCGCCCAGGACTAATTTCTCCAATCTGAATAAACCAGAATATTATAAAACAACAGAAATTAAACGTATACAGAAGGAAAAACAAGAGACTAACCTTTCTTTTTCCTTATCGAGCATTTTGTTGAGTTTCCTCTTTCTCCTGGGTTTTTCACCGTCTCCTGCGTGTTTGCGTTTTTTCTGAGCGGTTTCTCCTTTTCCACCTTCCATGGTTCAGCAGGAAAAAATAACTTAAGAGGTAGGAAATCGAGAAGTTATTGTTCGACTGGGAACTTGACCAAAAGGAGGTTAATCTCCCTGCTTCTGGTTATAAGACAATCCACCACCTAATCCATTTTCAAAACAGAAGTTTTTTTCTCTTTATTTCCACGAAATCAACATGCTTTCTGGCAAAAAACGATTAAATATTAATTATTTCAAAAATTACAATCCAGGTTTTTGAAAAAATTCCAAGGGATAAGAAATAAATTCAGTGTGACGTTTAACGACCACGTGCGTCACCCAAACACAAACCAAAAGTTCAAATAAACTACAAAAAATACATAGTCAAATAAAAAACACAAGAAACTGAAGCACACACAACTGTGATACGTACTATTAAATAATAGAAACACATAAAATGCCTCAAAGTTGAAAATTTAACTGTTAATGAGTTTTACAAAGTATAGATTTTTATTTTATTTTATGTATTTTAAAGTTACAAATGGGCTTAAAGCCCCCTTACAAGTTCATGTCTTAGAAATAAACTTAGTTTTATAAACATAGTAAAATAATAGTAATAATTATAAAATATATAAAAAAATAATGTTTAGTAAGTTTTGTCATTTTATTGTATTTAAGCATTATATATATCCATATACAAAAGATTTTTTCCCTCTTTTTTATAGATATAGTATAATGATTTATTAATGCCACAAATATCTACAATGCGGTACAATTTAGTGGTCTACTCCATTGTACTACATCTTCAATTATAGTTATAACGTGTGGTGATTAGTGACCGTTAGTCGATGATTATTCGGAAATCGTGAGATGCGGTCTGGTGTGATGTAGGTTTCAGAAAAACATTTTATTTATCGTGCCAACGTTTCGATCTTTATTGAGGTCATCTTCAGGGCCTGGGATGTACAAACATTGTTTAAATTTTTTCCACATCCTACATGTATTTGTTAAATTTAAACAATGTTTGTAAATCCCAGGCCCTGAAGATGATCTTAATAAAGATCGAAACGTTGGCACGATAAAGAAAATGTTTTTCTGAAACCTACATCTCACCAGACCGCATCTCACGATTTCTGAATAATTATAACTAGAGTTGATATATGAGTTATAAGGCGAATTTCAAAGAAAGAAAANCAATAAAGATCGAAACGTTGGCACGATAAAGAAAATGTTTTTCTGAAACCTACATCACACCAGACCGCATCTCACGATTTCCGAATAATTATAATTATAACTATAGCTTGCCAAAAATAAAAAAAACAATAGGGCCCTTAGCAACCGAAACAGGGCCTCCCGCGGCGAACCCCGGTCAGCCGAAAACAACAAAATAAAATGAAGCCTCGTGAGCGTCAACAGGCCAATTGGATGAAATAGTAAAGAATGAACTTTACGATCAAACTAAAACTTTTGGCATTTTTATTGCAAAAACAGACCAGGACTTGCTTCGGTTTGAAACAGTGTCTCATTACCCAACTATGCAGTCCGTTGGGAAGAATGAATCACAGATGTACCATGATTTGGCGTGAAACCGTGCAAAACTGGTAGTCGTGCCGCAGTAGTGACTAGTGCCAAGGTGATTTACTATTTCGTGAGTTGGGTCAGACCCAGAGATGAGAAGTCAGTCGCAACCTTTACCGAATAACTACTTGCTTGACCATTGTATAATCACTGAGGAAAGCCACGAGGCATAATTAAAATGCGGTTGGGAATTTCTTCAAATCCTCATTGGAATATAGCGTAATTACTGTTTGGAACTGTCGTGAATGCTTAGTTTTTTTAAACTACTTGTGTTTCGAGAGGTTGCACGCGCTGAGTTTCCTGGTGTGGAACGAATAAGACGATCAGTTGCGCACTCGAGTCTCTTCGTGAAGTTTTCACGAATGGAAAATTCGACAAAGGGAAATTACTACGTCGTGAGCCCAAGGTGTCACGTATACGACGTACATCATAGCATAATAGTTGAGTCACGTCTGTACAACCTATCGGATCTTTCTTGCTATCTTGGAAGCCATAATTTTTAACAACGTCCGTGAACAAGCCTTTTATATATAATAATGAGAAATCCTCAGCCATTTTGTAAAGAAACAGACAGAGGTTAATTATAAAAAAGCTCAGGAATAAATTTGCTAATTACCCTCACGTTCTCTAGAATTCATGATTTATAGCTTTTCTAACCTATAAAAATATTCCTTTAGACCATTATTTGTTCAGAGAAAGCATGTTCTAGCGGGGTATTTCCCAGCACAGCTTATTGTACCAAGTACAGTTCAATTGACTCGATATTTCTTTTATGGAATAGTAGTCAGTGTCTGTCATTGCTTCAATTTTATTCCTCGATCTTGATATCTTAGGTTATGTCTCTATTGAGCATATATAGTCCTATCACTTCTTTGAGTTTTACCCTTTCTAACTGCAGCTATGTTATTGCCAGATTTGATCAGGGTTCTTTAATCGTAGGTTTATCACGTCTGGCACCTTTGGCGTTTATCCACTTCTTATATTTATTTATTTCTTCGGTGGGCCCATACTGAGATGGAGGATTTACTATTTGTCCTTTTTATCACAAGTATACGTTATGGCATGGCCTTGAAGTCCATCTGTTTTGGAGAGTGTATGCGTTCACCGACTATTTTGGGTGCGATCACTTTTAGGACTGATAGGCTGTCTGATCGTATGAGGATTTTTTTACCTTTTAGGATATTCTAGGCGTAATCATCGATAGCATGTTTTGAAAACGTTTGTGGATTCCTCCTCCTGCCTTTTGGATGCACTTTTCCTAGTCCACAGTTCAGTTCAATTGACTCGATCCTTCAATTTAAGACGTAGTAGGTCATTGACTTTTATTGGTGCAATTTTTTTTCTCGAGTCTTCTTAATATTCTAGGTTAAGTCTCAATTGATTCGTGGATAATTTGTTCTGGAAGTTTCTTTCTCTTCATCGCATAAGTTATAAGTTGGATCATTATTGTTGGTGTTTTCTCAGATGCCAGTGACCGATTATAGCTCTATCACTACAACCCCTTTTCTAATTAGCTAGTCAGTTTTGGTGAAGGTTCTCATGGGTTTATTGCGTCGTCCACTTCTTGGTTCTGTGCCGATATACGGCCTTATAGACCCTCCTCTGGCCTGTGCCGGCTTGATTATTACCCAGAATTCTTTTGTGCTCTGGCACCCAAGACTGTCAGGTTTTGGATGCATTCACTGATTATTTTGGGTATGACCTTTTTACATACTAAAGTTTTGAGAACTTCTTGGCTGATCGTATGAGGGTTTTTTTTTGTCAGTGTAACCGTATTAAAATATTCTGTGGTTATATTTCACCTTGATAGAGCTAGGTGTATTTTGCTAATGAGATTGGTTTGTACTGCTCATAGGGCATAGTCAGTATTTTTCGTTCCATATTATCTTTTTACAGATAAAAACCAAGGAGGTTTGTATTCAAATATCAGAGGTGTTTTCTCAAATGTCAGTGACTAGTATATAGTCCTGTCACTCCACTGAGTTTTACCCGCTGTTTTGAGAAGATTTTTTTAATCGTAAGTGTCCTGGCACCCAAGATATTTTCAAATTATTGTGTTTGGCAAGGTTTTAGAGATTTTGGATGTGACTTCTTTATGTACTAGTTTTTTTATGGCTGCTTGGCTGTTTGATCTTATGAGAATAACACGTATTTCGACTTGAAAGACCGAGTTGTACTTCCTTAAAGAGTTTGACTGCCCATGCTTTGAGATAAACTGAGGTGTGAACACGTGGTTGAAGGATCGTAAGAGCAAGGATCAAATTGATCCTTATGTCGCTGGAGTCCGGCTGTTTCACGGGTGGCCTCCTTGACTAAGTTATCTGTTTTGGTATTCCAAGTTTTTTTTGACAAATAAAACCATCAAATATTTAATGGTAGAAAGGAAAAATGATTTGTTCTACCAGGAAGTTACAACTACTAAAATTTATTATTTTAGTTCCATTATCTTTTCCGAAGTTTCTTCCAACAATATTTTAAGGAATCGTTCCCGGATCGTGTCTTCTTCCTGTTTCCAGATAAAAGATATAGTTTTGTGACTGTTTTGGTAGGGAAAATATTTAAAAAAAATGTCGCTGGCTCTACTTTTGAAAAATCTGCCTCTCCTCAAAATCTGACACTCAAAGCATTAAAAGCTCCATGAAACATCATCAAATCTGCTATTTAACTCGAAGAGTGATTGTTTTCTTCTCAAGTAGATGGTCTCAACCCCGATTTAACCTGTTTTCAGAATGCTGTAACCTTTGATTTTTCATGATTGATTGTAAGTCCCAGCGATTGGAATATTTCATCAACAATATAAATAAAATGGACAAAATTCTACTCTGTCAAGAAAAAGTAAAACAACAGGGGACTTAGAACACAGCCTTGCTATTAAATGATACGTAAACGTTTTCGGAGCACATACCATTGCACCATAAAATGAAAAATATGACATAACAGCAAAAATGGTATGATTTAGGGTAAAACAATTCCAAAAAATTCTAATTATAAAATAATAATCATAAAGGGGGCGTCGGTGGCCGCAACGGTATAGGCGTTGACACGGCGCTTATCACTGTAAGGTAAAGGTCCCGGGTTCGAATCCAGCGGCCCTGCATTCGAACTCGACATACTTACAAATGGGCTTTTTTTCAAAAACACCGGCACCCCGAGGGTTGATATAACCTCTGCTGTTGCGAACCCTCGTAAAAAAAACAAAAAATAAATAAAAATAAAGGTTAGAACAAAGTATTTATCTTTTGGCAAATGAAATTATTCTATGATTGGCATGTTCAAAGTTGAGAGAGCCTTTGATGTCAAATCTATGCTGGATTTCCAAGCAGAAAAGCTGACCTAATAAACTTTACAATACTGTATGTGAAGTCATGCTTAAGTGTAGGCTGTGCTAACAAGAACCCAGGAAGCAGTTGGGCCAAGGTTGCTTTCGGCTTTAAGTCAAAACAATTACTAAATTGGAAAATGTGCAAATTGTTGTGTTCAAAACACAATGATTTGTGTTCATATGTTTACAATTGTGTCGAAGACGAGCCAAGAATGCCATATTCATCCTCGGCGGGTCTTA